TTCAAGTCACCAGGTCCAGAACTTGAACCGCCATCGGCCACATGGGAATCCAGCAACTTAACCACTATGCCACTTGTTGGCCTCCTGAGTAAGAATTTGACAGTGGCGGCATAAGAACATTTTAAAAATTCTAAACAGTGCTGTGTGTGTATGGAGAAAGTGTTGTGGAGTGCCACCAAATGAACGACCACCAAAGCCTGATTAAGTTTAAAGGGAGTCTTTATTAGCTGGCCAGCGACTACAGTCTGAGGCTGGGGGGTGGAGGGGAGACCGAGAGTCAGAACTGTAGCCTGGACTGAAGTGTGAGTAGTCTTTTTTATAGGGGGTCAGTTACCAGGGGTTTCTATGCAAGCAGTTACAGAAGCTGGATCAAGCAGTTTAATTATTTCTGACGGGAGTGGGGTTTCCATGCGAGCACTTACACTGCTAAACAAAAAGGTTTCAGGCTAGTTAGCAAAGACAGTAGCAGGTACAGGATAGCGTCCCGGATATGGTTTCCTATATGGCTAGCACAAGCTGGTTTCTAACGGGAAGAAAGCAGCCAGCCATGTTAGGGTAAGGGAACAAGATGGACAAACAGTTGTTCATGTGCAAGAACTAGTATGCGGCCTTCCACAGAAGTTCCTGCTAGATGCTCATATTGTGTAACATTGGGTTTTCAGAAAAGTCATGACTTATGGGACCAGCAGTTGGCATAATGGCTGTGTGGCTGGACTCCCATGTAGTCGACCGCGGTTTGTGTCCTGGACCCGGTGGCTTAAAACTCACGCCAGGCATGTGTGCATGCATGCCCAAGATCTCAAGAGGAGAATGAGGAGAAGGGATTGTGGCATGGCCATCTCCCCTGGGGGGTGATTTCTCGCTTTCTGTCTCTCTGTCTCTCTGTCTGTCTGGTGGGCGCACGCGCCCTATAGCAAAAACCTCTCCAAAAACAAACAAAAAAAAGTCATGACTTATTTTCCTTTATTTTTCTATGCAAAATGCATCACGACTTTTCCAATGATCCAATAGTATGTGAAAGAGTAGACACATTCTATAAATAGTTATTGAATGAAGGAATGATTTATTGCTTAGGGTTCCAACCACACCCTCTCCACTTCAATTGTATGTGACCCTGAATGGCCTTTCATGACAGTAACTCCTTCCCGCATGTTTCCAGATAGTTTCCAGGTACTCCAGACCCTGGAGAGGTTTGGGCAGAGATGGTGCGACAGTGTTTATTTCATACAATTGTCACATAGTCTTTGGGAGTTTCTTTTTCTTCTTCTTTTTGTCTTTATAGAGATTTTTGCTATGAGGCATGTGCGCTCCCTGGAGAGAAAGAGAGACAGAGAGGCAGAAAGCAAGAAATCACCCTGCCCCAATCCCTTCTCCATTTCCCT